CTCACAAGCAATTTGACGAGTATGGGGTAAAATATTCAGGAAACTTAAAAAGCATCCGAACTAATGGAGCAAGCGAAAAACATTTATCATATTGATGTTGGAGTGCCTTTCACTTCGTTTGAAGAGGCGGATGGAAGGGATTCATAAATTGGTCTCACTGAAAGCTGTAGGAGGATTACCTTGGAGCTATGACTGTAGATTTGTGCAAATAGGTCCTCGGCGTACCGCCCTGCGACCCCCTACAGCTTCTGGTGAGACCAACTTAGAAATACCTCCCACTCGCCTCTTCTCCTACAACATCAATCTACTAAGGGATTCTTCGAAACCCAGTTTTTCTATATTTATCACATTTTCAGTGTATTCATGTAGCCAGAAGATTTATTGACGACTTGTGCTATTTGATAAAGATAACTAAACTCATGTTAACTAATCAATATTATTGTGACAACAGATATTACGTAGTTGCTTCTAAAAAATGAAATATATAGCAAACAAATCTCATGTATCTATATGGAATCTGCCAAATTCAATCGAAAGATCATAATATTATCCATTACCTAAGATGCCAACCAGTGTAAAAATTAGGTGAGAGATATAAATCAAAAATTGATTATCCATTAAATATATAAAATGAGTGGACTAATATTATTTACGTCCACATCATTGTATTGAGATGAAATGAATAAATAAAAAATACTTGAGCACGAAGCCAACGACATAGGGGTGACTGAACTGGCATAAAATTGATTATCGTGTAGAAGAGGACACGAAGCTTGTTCCGCAAGAAAGGAGCTCGGCTCTTCAATGGACTCAGCCAAATGAAAATCATTTGGAGCCTCGAACTCAAACGGAGGTGGAGTCAAACTAACCCCATCCTGATTTATGGCATTGTTACTTCTAAAATCAGTCAACAAAAAGAAAAAGAAAAGCATTTATAAGAGTAGAAGGGCTAATAGAAAATATAGTGACTGTTTAGGCACTGTTTAGGTGTCACTACGATAGCTCTGGGCGAGTTTACAAAACAGAAGATAGAACTAAGATTAAATATAGATGAGCTAAAAATAAGTATAATTGATACTTTTTAAAGTTTTTAACTAATATTCTCTCATTTAAGGCAAAGATATTTTGCGCTCAGATATGTATATAGGGGAGCTATGAAAATACAGTAAAATATATGGGATAGTTGTGGTATAATGGAGTTTTGATTAGGTTCAAGCGAAATAATGACAATATTAATACAAGTTTAGACAACCAATCCAAGGCAGCTCTATGAAAATCAAGCCTACATAAATTTGTAGAAAAAGAACTAATTTCGGAGATATTAAAAATCTGCTTCTGAAAGTTCCCTTATTGTAATTGAATTAATTAAGGTAACACTGATAGGGAATTTTATCTCCAAGGCAGGGATAAATCAAATATTCACAGCTTTCCGGAAAAATGAGGGTTTTCTAAGTCATAAGACCACTAGGTCTGTTGAAAAAGAAAAATGTCCCGGTTAACAAATGGCTTTAAGTCTATTATCTGTTTGTAAAAATCAGCATATGACTAAAAATATAATTCGAATTCTCGAAGCTTTTATTTTTGTATATCTAGGTGCATCGTAGAAGGATGTAAAGACTTTAGCTATCTCAGCGGAAAAATTTTAAGTAAAAGCCTAAGAAAAAAAAGCTAAAAGATAGTTATTCTGGGGCTGTTTAGAAGAATCTGGCCCAAGCGAGAATTGAGATTTCGAACAAGAGCTCCTAATACAGGAATATAGTCTCGTTTATGATTAAATACTTGAGAAAATAAAGGCTTCAAAACCTAGGAGGCGTATGTCGGTAGAAGCATGTTAATTTATTATTAGTGTGGCTATACATTCGCCGGGGGTAAAAATGAAACAAATCATGCAGAATCTAGTCATACGCCGAGTAAAGCTTAACTCAAATATTTTAATAAAATCATGCTTAAAAACATGAATATAAGTGCTTATTTCAATTCAAGGCATCTTCACGAATAACTAGTGGGTGGCGTGAGGCAAAGGTAGAAATCCTTTTGGATCAAAACAAACTATAAATTAGAAGGATCAAAAAGTTCTTCCAAAAGAAAGTTACAATGAAATAGAGGTTGTTTGACCTTGTTTTCGCAACATGGTTTTATTGGTAGGAAGACTTAGAGGAACACACCTAGTCCGGAGTCCATTGTATGCATCACCATTTCCAAAGTTGAACCGTGAACTTGGTACATTCGAAAACGTTTCACCCGCATCGTCAGTGAGTATCACCATCCTTAGCACCACACAACAACTCGTCAAAGAGACAAGTAAGGCCGATCCTTTGACCAAACGTATGCTAAACAATTGTGGTATCTCTCTTCTGCCCTAGGTGGTTCACCTTTCCGGTAGCATCCTATCATGCCGTCACTATTACAATTTTACCGTGTTTATTTAGATATAGTGTGGTGTGCTCCTTTGACCGACATGAAACCTTCACACTCCAATTGTCGTTCTCCCCCCCTTTCATTCTTTTGCAGGGAATGTTGATTAGTCTGTTTTATTATTATATAGTCCTCTTTCCTAATCTTATCCCAGTCTCTATCTTGTTCCGTAATATCCGTCTACTCTACTCCTTGTTCACCTATTTCACTCGACTTCTGCCACCACATCTGTCCTACTCGAGGCGTTATTCGCCCTCCCCTGCGTCTG